GAATTAAAATCACAAATAGATAAATTATTTGAACCCTATGTAAACAGCAATAATATTTATATAAATAAATTATATAAAATAATAGGTATTATATGTAATTTCTTTAATATATATATAGAATATATAAATACTCTAACGAAAACTTATAATATTATTACTAAACTAGAAAATTTAAGTGGTAATAAGTTTAAAAAATTCGAAAACGACTATGATAACTAAAATTTGAGTATGAATCTCAAATTGGAACAAATACAGAATTACAAACTCAAAAGAACCAAGTAGAAACAACCTTAAATGACCAAATAATACAATTAAATAAATTGACCGAAGAAAATATCCAAAAATTTATCCAAAAGGATAAAGAATTATTACAACAAAATGAAATATTCAATGAATTACAGTATATAATACAAGATCAAAAGAGCAAAGTAGAAACATTAAATAGCCAAATTATACAAAATAATAAATTGACAGAAGAGAATAATAAAATATTTATCCAAAAGGATAAAGAATTACAAATACTAAATAATAAATTGTTGCAAAATGAAGAATTTAATGCGGAAATAATTCGATTACGGGAATTATTGCAAAATAAATCAACCACTAATGAACAGTTAAATATACAGTGTCAAAAATTAATTGCAGAATTGAGTGAGAAATTAAAATATTGTCAAACTGAAGTATCGTTATTAACTGAAATAGCTAATAAATTTTTATCCGATACTGAAATAACTCCCGGGTTGTCATTACCTCAACAAATTCAAAATATTTTTAATTCTCATATAAAACAAATTAAAGAACATGAAAATAATATTAATATTATTAATAATTTATTAAAAGTTTACAAAGATAAGTTAAATGAAACAAACCTGCAATTGACAGCAATTAATGAAACTGTTTCTAAAAATATTACTTATTTATTAGTTGATTTAGAGACCGTAGAAAATACAGATGATTTTATCATCAACGTTAATAATAGTGTGGAGCAACAGTTTAAACCTATAATAAATAACAACGAATACTACCCTTTAATAGATAAGGTAGTTAAAATACTTCTAATATATATAAACTATATAACCATAAAACAATTAAAGATTAATAATAATCAACGAAATGAAAATAAACTCTTACAGAAACAAGTGGATGATTTACAGAAATTCTTAACAGAAAAAACAAACACATTTCACGAAATTAATCAAGATTATAATAATAAAGTTGATGAGCTTAAAAACGAATTAAAAGAGATACAAACTGAAATCGATAAATTTAATCTACCCAAAACTGAAACAACAATTTCGTTATCTCAACAAATTAACAATATTTTACATTCACATACATACCATAAGGATGAATTAGGTAAAAATAATATTGAATTAGAAATTTCTAATAAAGAGAAAACAAACCAGCAATTAGTTATTAAAGAAAATATTAAAGAAAATATTAAAGTAAATGTTTCTACTTTAATTACTGTCTTTACTAAATTAATACCTACACATGAATATTTAGAATTAACAAAACCGTCCGATAATACTATCGTATATTATACAAATTTAATCAATGTCGATGTCGTTAATAGTATCGAACAATTAAAAAATATAGTAGATAACGAATACTACCCGTTAATAGATGAGATAGTTAAACTTCTTTCAGTATATATAGACTACATAATAAAATTATATACATATCATAAAAAAGAAACTACTAAGACACCTAACACTTCTCAATTAACAATTACTTCAGGTAATGATAGCCAAGAGGATTTATCAGAAAAAATTATTAATATAAATAAAGCATTAAACTCTATGGGTAATGAGATAAATCTTCCTAGATTGAAAGATATATTTAAAAATACTGAGAATATAATAAATTTAGATCCCACGTTAGATTGGATTTCTAGTAATAATAAACATTTAATAGATAATTTCGACAAAGAAAAGAATAAATTACTTAACGTTATAGCTAAGTTATCCAAGTTTCTGCAAGAAGAAGAAGAAGAAGAAGAAGGAGAAGATATATTTTGGTATAATAATTTAGATAAATTTATTGATTCTCTAAGTCAAATTATAAATGAATCATCATCGAGAAAGAAAACAACAATACATAAAGCAAAAAATAAAAAAGAATCGAATAAACAATTAAAAGGAACAAAGGTAGCTGGGAAAGATACTATAACAGAGGAGGAGATGATAATAGAAGAAGGGAAAGGAGAAAAACGAGGAAGAGATGAAAAAGATGTTAAAGAACCAAAGAAAGAACCAAAGAAAAGAATTAAATAACTTTTCCCGGTATATTAAAGATTCCTTTTTATTTTTTAGTACAACCAACTACCTACAGGGGGAGTCAGAGAGAGTTCTCCCTTGGATTCTCTACAAAACATTCAAAAATCTAGTTTTTTGGGTAATTGGTTTGGATTAAATTAAAATAATTAGTTCCCGTTGGTGGAGGTATACAAGAAAAGATTCGAGCAGCGTAAGATTGTAAATCATCACATATTATATTTTTATTTTTTGTTGCCAAAAGCAAACGTTTGATATCTTCAAATGACCTTGCTGAAATTGCTGAGGCTGGGAAATGATTACCTCTTCTATTAATGGGGTTGAGGGGTTTTACAGAAAGTAGTGTTAATTGTAACAAAACTGCTGTATAATTAATAGTAGTTGTTTCGAATAACCTAAAAGGTTATGGAATTAATTAGACTACATAATTGTCCAAGGTGACAATTAACACCACGTATATCAGTACTGTATATTAAAAATAATTTAGGATTTACTCTTCTGAGAATGATAACGTCGATTAACCAGCCGGGACAAAGGTTATAAATTGGATGAGGATTAATAGTCCCATAGCGAGTTATTTTATCACTTAATACATATGTAACCCACATTTTATTGAGGCGTAAATCCATAATATTATTTACAGCTGTACCAGCAGATGATTTATCGTAAAGATGGAAATCGTGAAGAAATGTATTTGTATAAAAATTTGGACCGTAATACCTTTCGGGTGTCATTGGCTGGTCAATTAATGTTATATATATAAAATCGTATAATTTTTTTATATCAATGTGAGTTTGGTTATTACTATTGATGATTAAATCTTGTATTATATTAGAATAAACATTTACTTTTTTGACAAATTTATCACCAGTACGGGATTCTGTAGTAAAATTGGATAATGACGGAAAATGGAGATAATCCAAATTAGGGATAGAGTGTGAGTATTTAAAGATATTGGGTTTAAATTCTTCTGAAATATTATTAGAGGTGGTAACAGCTTCTTCTTCTTCATTGTACATATCATGTGTTGCATCCAGTTGTTGTTGAATTGAGGATTGTTGAATAAGTTTCCATAAGCGTGCAGACACATCTATACCTGGCTCCATATGTATTATAATTAAAATATTATTATATAAACTTAATCAAATATAGTTAAATTTTCACCTATAAAATCTTTAATAGATGATATTAATATATGTTTATAAGTAGAATTCTTTCCGAATTCATTATTAGTAAGAATATCAATAGATATGAGATGTTGAGGAATTTTCCTAATATAATCTATAATACACATAAGAATATTATACATGGGTATAGCTATTTTTTTGTATTTAATAATTGATTTTGTTTATTCAAGTCTGCTTTTTTACAATTATACATAAATAAACCCTTATGAATTATAAGTATGTATAGAAAATAATATTCTATTGTATTATTCCTAAGTTTAACAATAGTCCAATATAACGCATTACAGAATGTTTCATCCTGTAAATATTGTAAGTCACATTCATCTAGAAAATATTCTAGGCGTTTGATAACATTATCTCTGTTTGTGTTTAACCAATCAACTAGGGATTCATTTTCACTGAAAGAAAAAAGTGGATATTGTAAACTTTTATATATTTTTGTATAATGGGTGGATATGTAATGTATTGATTCAGAACATAATTTATTCATGTGTGGTGTTGTATCATCATTTATTTCTGGGGGTAAACAAGAGTACATTAATTGATACAAAAAAGGAAGAAAAATAAATTTTTGGAGTCGAGAAAGTAAACCAATTTCCTTTAGAATTAATATTTGATATAAAGAACACTTTAGTGTTGTTTCCATAGACATTTGATAAGGTTTATGAAACAATAAGACATTCAAAATTTCACCTAAAGTATGAAACATAATTTCAAAACTAATTGACATATTGAAATATATAGGTGTTGACATATTTTCTTTTTGAATTTGTAAAAATGCCTTAAAGGCCCAGACATTATTATCGTTCTCGTTACTAATTTGCTTAATAATAAGATCGCGACAATCGTAAATCTGTTTCTCTACAGAGAGAGTGGCTTTCTGACAGCAGTCATTAATATTATCACAAAAGGATTCTTTAAATTGGATATCTGCAGTTTTTATCTTTTTACGTTTTTTGTGTTTATTGAAATTTGCATTTGCTGTATTAGAATTTGAAGTCTTATTAAATAAATTTCTAAATGTTGATGTTAATTGTGGCATTATAACTTTAAATAACTGTAAAATTGACAAATTCTCTTCGTCTATTAAGCCATCTTCTTCATTGTCTTCCCAAATACTTTCAATATCATCAGCAGTTATATTAAAGAGATCATGTATTGCCTTTAACACGGTAGTCGGTTTTCTTACAAATAAATTATCTCTACAGTATAACCAATAACTATTGGGAAAATCTCGGAATACATCTATTTTATTTAGGATATGTATAAACCAATTTAAAATTTGCCTAGGATTAATGAAAAGATTCGTGTTTGTTTCATTAATATTGTCTACTATTTTAAAATACTGGCTGGTAAACATCCACACATAACAGGATTAGTTTCATTATTTGATTTTTTTCTATAGACGTGCAAAGTTGATCAATTAGAAATTTTCTATTACAATATTCTATAAATTTAAGGCGATTAATTTCTATATCTTCGATATTTGTATCTAATTCTCTCATAATATTAACATAATCTATATTTCTTTTTATAGGTATTTGTTGAGTTTCCTCTTGAGAGTTTTGAAAAATTATGAGTGGGTTATCATTGTTGATGCAAGATCCCACAAAAACTCTTTGGGGTATGGGTATATCTTTAAAATTAACATTATCAAAAATTATATATAAAATTTTATATTTTTTAATAAGAAAAAATATAAAAATGTTTTTTTAATTTTTGTAGTTTTATTTTTTTTTAAATAATAAAAATAGATAAATAATAAGAGGAATAAAAAATGTTAGATTATATAATTCTATCACTTATACTTCTACTATCAATAAGTGTCATTTTCTTTACAATAATGTTGTATAAGGATGCAAAAATTGATGACGATGATAAGAGTACACAGTTCATATATTTCCTAAATATATTGCAAGGATTATGTATATCAATACTAAGTATTGTTAGCATGTATTTACACTACAGAAATATAGATGATACTGAAGATGAGTAATCCCTCCCCTTCCCAGCCTAAAATCTAGAATTATTATTTTTCTACTCAAATATTTATATCGTTGTGTTCTGCTTACGAGTTATTTAGTTTAGTTAGCTACCTGCCTGAATGGAGGGAGGAAGAATGAACTAATATTTAATTTATAATATAATATGAAAAGTTATTTGCTGCTGCAAATATAATTCATTCGTAAGTAATCCATGATGAATACAATAATTAAAACCCTTGAAAACTGTGATGATGATAATTATCATTTGGAATGTTTAGGAAATATTTACATACATCCTTCATTTAAAAATAAAAATGATTTATATGATAATATTAATAAAAGTATATCCAACCTTGGATACAAATGTTCCAATAATATGGGAGATAATGGTGATATATTAAGTTTAACGGAAAAGTTTATTAATTTACCCAATCATGGTGAGTCCTTATTATTACTATTTCTATTCAATTATGGTTGGCATCAACCCCCAATCATTTTTAGTGAAAATGGTCAATCTATTGATATTGATTATTTTACGCGTTTTTATATTGAGGATAAACAAGATATCTATTTTCATCTATCAAGTAAACGAAAATTTTTTATATTTACAGTTTTACAATCATTATCAAATGACTCTAGCAGTGTTATTATTAGAAAATATAAAGCAAATAATTCAGTTAGTATATATTATAATACATCAATGATTAATGATAACATAGAACGTGATATTTCCTATCTACAGGATATATATTCAATCATAAAAACTTTTTAGTTACTTTTACTCAGGGGTGAAGTGAAAAAACAAAATAAAAATTGGACCGACCTCACTATTCAACACAGCAACACAGCAACACAACAAAAATTCTCTGTTTCTGTTTCAAATATCAGCCAATTTTGGAGGTATTAAAAAGTGTTTTAAATTTATGAGGTGTTAATGATAGGGGTATAGTGTTTTTATTTAATATGTTTAAAGAAGGATTTTCATTTTCAAAAAAATGATAAATTACGCCATTTCTATCGTAAAATAACATATTTTTTTATCAAATTTGAGATCTACAGTTAAATTGTTATCAGTTTTTTTTTAATAATAGTTGATCGATTATTGTTGTTAAGAAAATCAAATATAAGTATTTCACCATCAATAGGCACTTTTTGATAAAAATGGTGTATATGTGGATGGATTGTTTCTTCATGAGATGAATTCATTTATATATATTTACTAATGATTGAAGTATAAAGAATATAATAATTATAGTATATGATATTAAGAAATTCAATCTGTTATATACAGCCATTTTAATAATTTCAAGGCTTTTTTATTTATTTTTTATTATATTTGATAATGGAACAAAATGAATCATTTTTATTCTTATGAATAATATAAGATTTTATTGTATAAGGATAAGGGGATTTAGGGTGGCTAAAAAGTTCAGTTTCTTGTTTTTCTCTAAAAAAACTATTATTTAGAAAAATTATTAGTGATAATAATGTTGTATCTCCATAATATGGTTTTTTGTTTAATTTATTATCAGTATTTTTATTATAAAATGTATTGGTAAATCCTTTTAAACCTTTAGTTTTAATAAAAGATTCCAAATCGGTAATTTGTTGGGGTTCTTTATTAAAAGCACCATAATTATTGACAATATCTTGAATACGGTATGGTTTAATAGATACTATAAAATCAAATTGATTCCTATTACTAAGGGTAATGGTATTACTTAATAATTGATTTTGTTTCTTTATCTCTACTAGTGTATGCGTGTCTCTTACTGCTTGATGAGACAGTATAAGAGATCTCATTCCCTCATAAGTAGGAAATTTTTTAATTAAATAAGTATAGGATTTGTTGACATTATATAATGTATTAGATTTAACACAATCTAACATCGATAGGATACTTGTAAAATATTGAGATATATTTAACAATATTAAAATTTTATAAATTTGACATTTTTTTAAAGATGACCATAAAATAAGAACATTGTGTTTATTCACTTTTTTTAAATAAATTAAAAGATCTTGCATAAAAGGCCTAGTATATAATTTACCTACATTGTCGGTGGAATTTATTTGTAAAAAAAATTATCGTCACACAAACATAATGAATGTAAATCAATTACAATTAACATAGGTGAATATTTTTCTAATTCTAAATACTTAATGGTATTTGGGAATAATTTATTTTGAAAATCATATTCATCTAATTTTAAATTAATTGCTTTGTTATATTCCGGTTTATTGTAAATGCTTATAGTATTCATGGAGGTGGGGGAGGAAGATGATATACTGGTGGTGGTGGAGGGGATGGGGGTGGTGGAGGGAATGGGGGTGGTGGTAGTGATGGTGGTAGAAGTAGCGGGGTTAATGGTAGTAGTATCTGGAATATTATAATCTGAAAGAGATATATTATAATCTGAAGGATAAGTCCAAATCATTATTTTATTTTTTTAGTATATAATAAAAGATGGATTACATAAATGATATTATCCCCTTAACAGGGTGGAATGAATTAAATAATATCAAAATAATTAATAATCATACTATTGAAAAAAAACATCTTTTCAATAATATTGGAATTATCATTGATCATTTTTTACTACATTGTTGTAAAATTCATGCAGGCTCTTCATTTGAAAATTCATTCTGTAAGTTTACTAATATTCCTGGACTAATATTAGTAAATAAAATTAATACTAAATATAGGATGGCAATGATTTCCTTTTTTTACTGATATGCCCAATAAATGGGTTATTCCTTATAAAAAAAAGGGAAGGGATTTAATTTCTTACAGGTTAAATCCAATCAATTATGGGATATTCTTTTTTCATCTCCAAAATTTATTATAAGTTATCCGAAAATACGCCCATGTTTTAATTATTTTTCTTGTAAAAATAAAGGTATAACAATACTAAATTTGATAAATTTAGCTATTGGTTATATTGATATAGCCGGAATAATTCATCTTTTACTGACACCCATATTTGTTATACCTTATTGTACCAGGAAGAATATTTCACTAAAACATTTTCGAAAAATAGTTAATAAACAAAATATAAATGTTAATGTTGATAATTCAATGATATACTCTCTAGGGACAAAATATGTTATTAAATATTATACGAAATCTCATATTAATGAGAAAGTGAGTTCTCTATCTATATATATATATTAGAAAAAAACTTATGTGCAAAATTACATCCATTTCCCCCTTCCAAATTTTTATGTTCACCCTTATGGGGTATTTTTCTTGTAAATTTAATGAAAAGGAAATAAATTACCAGTGCGATACTTCTGGTGTGTCGTCATTGTATATTGTACAGTACAGGGGTACTTAGTGACAGCATTTATAAAAGAAAACTCGTGCTCTCAGACTGATTCTGGTATAGGGTGTTATAATTCTGTTTACTATGAGAAATGATAACCATTTAGGTAACATCCATAAATGTATTTTATATACATAACTACCACCACTTCCCTGTTTTTTTTCACATTTTACACACAAATTGTGAATAAATTACTCCCTACTTGGTTTTCCCATTGGGTTTCTATTTTAACTTTGGTGACTCTCTGGGGAAAAAATATGAGTTCGTTTATATATAAATATGAACGAACGAACTTTTCATACAGAGCGCTGTAAACGCTTTTGCGAGATGTAAGGGGAGTGTCCAATAAACTAGCCCCCGTGGGGGCAAATCTGAATTTGACGGCCCAACACAAACTAAATTGACCTTTTTTTTCAGTTACTCTTTCATATCTTATTTATGGGAATCAAGTACGAGGAAGAAGAAAAAAAAAGGAGGAAGAAGGATAAAAAAAATACAAACTTACTGGTGTAAACACAGTACCAAGAACAGGTACGGTATTTTTTTTAATGAACAAGTACAGAACAGCTGAGCGGAGAAAAAAACAAAAAATCACAAAATAAGGTTGGTAATTAGTTATAATTCACTTTCACTTGAAGATATTGTTTCATTTAATATCTTATTTTCTATAATGTTATCAATTTCTGTTATTGCTTTATTTAAATCATCTAACTTATTTTTTAGCCATTTTTCATAATCGGAAATAGTTTTAAGTTTCTCTCTTTGTTGTGAAGCTAACAGTTCTTTATTAACATTATGATGTTGTTGAAGATTGCTTAATTCATTAATATATAAATTAATGTTATTTTTATAATAGTCATGTAATGATGTTATAACATTTTCAGTATCTTTTCTGTTTGAAATAATTAAATTTTCATATTCATATTTTAAATTATTTTTTTCTAATTCAAATTGTCTAGAAAAATTTCTAGATTTGTGTTTGTAATTGTTTATAGATGTGCATAATTTATGAATAATTTGTAACATACAAATCCATAAATCATTCATATCATACAGATTAGAATTTCTTATATATAATATTATTTTTTCAATACATTCCACTGCTAATTCATAATTATTAGTCTCTTCATTAATTTCTTTAATAAAATTTAACAATTTATACAATAGAGGATATAAATGTTCTTGATAGTTAAAATTTGTTAAAGATGTTTTTATAAATTCAGTAAATACATTAAACTCTTTAATATCATTAATATATTCAGTATTAATATTTTTTTTATTATTATCTACACACTCTAATAATGAATATAGATTCTTTTGTAGTAATGTATTTATTTGTAAATTCTTATTTGTTGATAAAACATTATTGGTTTCTAAAATATTAAATACCACTAATTCTAATTGAGCATAATTATTTAAAGCAGCTTCAAAATTTTTATTTTTTAAGTTTCCATTGATATTAAATAAAAAGTTCGTCATTTTTATATATAAAATTTGACTAGTGTTATAAGTTTGCGTATATTTTTATTATTTTATATCATTTATAATAATATCATTTATCATTTAAAGTTTTAATGGGTAAAAATGTATGACCAAACAGAGAAGGGGGAATATAATTTATTATTTGATTTATAAATTCTTTATTCGAATGCCTCATATGTTCTGTAGGTGATATTCCTTTTTGA